GCAAAGCTTGCGTAAGGACCGGGAAGCCTGGTGGTCGGAGCGTGCTAATGAGATGGAAGCAACAGCTGCATCTGGTAACTGCCGGAAGCTCTTCCAACTCATCCGAGCCACTGGCAGCAAGAAGTCTGGTGTGAGTGAAACAATCTACGAGGATGACGGGATGCCAATCACTAACATCTCTCGACGTCTTGGACGATGGGCGGAATTTTTTGAAGGGCAGTTCAACTGGCCTGCTGCTCCGGCAACATCAACCAGTTTGTTCTGCCCCCCATGGCCGGTGACGACTGATCCACCAAATGAGGCGGAAGTTCGCAAGGAACTCCAACTCTTGAAGCGCTACAAATCACCGGGCCCAGATGACTTACCTCCGACTCTTTTTAAAGATGGTGGTGACTTTCTGGCTAAGGAACTGACGGTGTTGTTTGCAAAGGTTTGGAGCAAGAAAGTGTTCCAACATCATGGAATGAGTCAATAGTCGTCCCTATCTTTAAAAAGGGTTCACGTTGTTTCTGTAACAACTATCGGGGGACAAGTCTACTTCCGATTGCGTCCAAACTATTGGCTTCTGTCATTCTTCGTAGGTTGTTTAAAACCCGAGAACGATTGACTCGCGAGGAGCAGGCTGGTTTTCGTTCTGGTCGAGGATGCATTGATCACATCTTCACCCTCCGCCAAATGTTAGAACACCGTCATACTTATCGCAGGCCAACAATCGTAGTGTTTCTTGAGATCAGGGCTGCCTTCGATTCGTTGGACAGGACTGTTCTCTGGGATTGTCTATTGAAGAAGGGTGTGCCTGAGAAGTTCATTAACATCTTAAAGGCCCTGTATACGAACACCTCAGGCAGAGTGAGGGCATACAACCACCTTTCTCCCTTGTTCCATTCGAGCAGTGGGGTTAGGCAGGGTTGCCCGATCTCACCGTTCCTCTTCAACTTTTCCATCGATGACATCTTGGAAACAGCTCTGATGGATGTAAGTAATGGCGGTGTGGATATGTTGCCTGGAGAACGACTTCTCGACCTCGAGTATGCGGATGATATTGTCTTACTGTGCGATAATGCCCAAGGCATGCAATCCGCACTTATGGCTCAGAATAGAAGCCAGTGGCGATCCTGCTGCAACCTTCTTTTACTTTCTACATAAAGAGTGGTTCTAACTTTCTTAACCGAAAGAATCTTCTGGTTGTACATTTCAGTCCGCCTTATCTTTTCATCCCTTCTCTTCCTACTTTCATTATTTTGTGGCGCATATTTATCTGGTGCCATTTTGTACCAATATATGTGTTTAAATAAATAAATAAATAAACACACCAGAAGTTAATGACTTCAAGCACTGATGCCACGTTTTGGTCTGGCCGCCCCTAACTATCTTCCAACCATCCCCAATACTAGTCAGCGTTGCGCGTCGGGGTAATCAGTGTTCAGGTTTACGTAACACGTGGCCAAACCATCTCAGTCGATGAAGATTTACAACCTCATCGACTGATTTACCATCACTCCCTAATACCTTGCGTCTAACCTCACTACTACTTACCCGGTGATCCCAGCAGATGTGAGCAATATTTCTAAGGCATCTATGATAAAATAATAGTAACTTACGAGTATCTTATGCTCTTAATGACCACGTTTCACAGCCGTAAAGTAGAACAGAACTGCCACACAGTATACTCTTCCTTTAATTGATAGATGGATATCTCGTCTTCGCCATAGGTGATGTAAGTTGACAAAAGCCAAACGAGCTTTTTGAATCCGTGCTGAGATTTCGTCAGACACCAACCCATTAGGGCTGATCAGACTTTCAAGATAAGTGAAGTTGTCAACGCGTTCGACTACTTCACTCCCTATCCTTAGTGTTGACGCAGACCAGTCCTGGAGTAACAATTTACATTTAGAAAGGGAGAAACGCATTCCCAATTAGTTATAGCCTTTTGGACTTCAAGTAGGGTCGGAGGGCCTACTTCAATGTTTCACTCAGGTTTTTCTGGGAATAGTGGGTAGTTGTGCAGTAGCTGAAGGCCAGCTGAATTGCTCCTTAAAGTGTTCCGCCCATCGTTCTAAACGTCTGAACTGAGAGCAGATAAGAGTGCCGTCTTTTTTCGAGATTGTCTCACACTTGACTTCTTAATTTCGGTTTCTTTTATTAGTCTGAATAGTTGCCTGGTGTTGCCTACAGCCGCTGCCTTTTCCATCTCTTTTGCTTTCGTTGCCCACTACTGCTCACGATCGTTCCTTAGACTTTTAGTTAACCTAGATCTGATTTGTTTACGCTCTTCGTCGTGTTCAGGGCCTGATAGGATGAGTTTACGCGAATCCATCAGTGAAATAGACTTAGAAGAAATCCATTGGTTTTTTGGAGCCCTATGGTTTAAATGACTAATAGATGTTACTGCTGTTTCCACAGCTGTTCGTATTTCTTTCCAAGCAGTATCTGGGTCAGTCTTGTTTACAGAACTGCCTAGATGTGAACTCAGTTGTTCCTAGAACTTACTTTTTCGTCCCCCATTTCAATCCTAATGGATCTTATTATGGTAGTTTTTCTGCGTCCAGTACGAGAGGCAATCTATCGAGCCCCTCCAACGATGGATGGTGGCAATATGGTCTTTTTGAGTCCATCGTTGGTTTGGTATAGGTCGCCATGTTAGACGATGTGTCTCCTTATGTTTAAAATTAGTGCTTGCTAAAAATAAACGATTGTCTGAGCATGGTTGCAACAGACGATCACCATTATCGGTTCGTCGAAACGGAATACTGAAATACCCACCTAGATGTCTTTCTGTTTGATTTAAGCTGCCTAATTGGGCATTAAAGTCACCCGCTACGACTACTATGCCTGAGCGCTTAGCTTTTTGAAGAAGTTCAGAGAGCTTTCTGTAAAAGTCATCTTTCACTTCATCCAGGCTGTAGTCAGTGGATCGAGAAGACAACGACCTGTGCCCTTATCCTTCCGAGATCTTATACAGTCGTGTTTTTTATATATTTATTTAAACACATATTGGTACAAGAAAGCACCAGATAAATATGCACCGCACAAACCTCATTTGATTTGTGTGAGGGCTGTGATACTGCCCAGGTGCCTAGACTGAAGCATGTGGTTTTCTTAGGGGGCCACACCCCGAGCCTTTGACCTGAAGGTCTGATCCACAAGGCAGTGGAGCATCGTGAGGAGATGCAGTCCCATGGTAGCCGGTGACCAACAGCAGGTTCATTCGCCATTTGTTCCTTCACGATACTGGAGCCCATGTGCACCATTGGTTTGGAATCAGAGTTTTCCAACTCCCCTAGGTGGACCCTCCATGTCCACCAACCCGGTTAAAGCGCCGGACATTCGCTTTTCGTCCTCTCACTTTCGTAAAAAACCCTAATGCCACGAGAAGGCAGTGAGTAGGACTTCCCTGTCAGAGGCTATATATTCGCGTGGCCATGTGAGAGCATTTCGAGAGGGAGTGGACTCTCCCCACTCTCGGCCGTACCAGGGCATTTGGGGGCATACAGTCGTGTGGCCAAACAGCACATAGGCGACTGTTAACGGGGATCCATTCTAATAGTGCTTGCTGTGCCCTCGAACTCAGTGTTATGCTTACACCCTACAGACCGCGAGAACTTTCCGTCGTGTCGCCAGATAAACAGTCTGAAATCTCAGATAAAAATTCGTTGTTGCATTCCCACCATAAACCTGTTGCAATCATTCAGCAGCAGAAGAGCCGAATGTTAACTATCTATAGGATCGATTAGCTATTACTTATTTTGGAAGCGGCTAACCTTGTCATTCCTAAGAGTTATGTAAACAATTCTAACAAAATGGGATGACCGTACAACACACGCTGATAAAGACCGTGTTCATGCACATCAGGCACGGTATTAGTTACCATTATACCATTAATGGTACATCTCTGCCACGCGTTCATGAGCACAAAGACTTAGGAGTAATTATAAGTCACGACTTAAAAACTACTACGCACTGCAATGCGGTTGCTTCCAAAGGCTTTCGCGCGCTATGGTCGCTTCGCAGAGCATTTAAATGCTTTGACGAGGATATGTTTCGAATTTTATATCCCACCTATGTAAGGCCACACTTAGAATACTGTATCCAAGCAGCTAGCCCTTGTCTGATAAAGGATACTAAATCGCTTGAGCGTGTCCAGCGTGTAAGGACAAAATTAGTAAAGGGTCTTTCTAAACTCCCTTACGATGAGCGTTTAAAACGTCTAAATCTTTTCCCCTTATCTTATCGTAGGACGCGAGGTGACCTTATACTGGCATTTCGTATCTTTAATTATGATCTGGGTGTTAATGTCTTATCTTTTTGCTCCCTCCAGCACTAATAATCTCCGGGGTCATAGCAAGAAGGTTCTGAAACCGCGATCTAATAAACTAAAGGTGGGGTCCCGTTTTTCTCATCGAGTGGTCAATGACTGGAACGCTTTACCAGAACAAATGGTATCAGCACCATCAGTGAACATTTTCAAAAAAAAGCCGGACCTTCACTGGAAGGAAATCTGTCAGGATTAACACAGGTTCATCAACCTACTATCCTTATTACTGAAGACTGAAGAACAATACAGTTGTGCCATTTGCACGAACGCTTACAAAGCAATTCAAGTAGGTCTGTTCATTAAATTTGGAAAAAAACTTGACCCAACAACCACTACCCACATCCGTCTTCAAACGCTCCGTAAGTTCTTTATAATTTTTAATGCACAAAAGTGCGAAAATAAGAATAAGTTATAATCAATGAATACATAATACATAGAAACCCAAAATCCCGAACTGTAAGTTAAGTCAGTCTACGGGATACAGGCTACCCAGAGCAAGTTACTTATCATACAGGATATAAGGGAAGTAGATGAATATGAATAAGAGAATGTCTGTACCTCAGTACAACAAATGAATCAAGAAATGACCCTTTGTGAACTAACTAGTAAAACATGGTCGAACGTCAAAAATTTCTAACTAGTTCGATAACTAATAAATAGCAACGCATACTTTTGGGGAACTTACCAAAATAATCAGCTTCGTATCATGGAAAAAAGCCAAAGACATTTGAGGGGACATGATACTATTTCCCGGTCGTGGTAACCGCGATCGCTTTAAACAAGGACACTGTTAAAATAGAAGTGAGCTCAAATGGTTCAAATGGTTGAGGACGGAATAGAAGAAGCTTTCGCTTAACGGGCTTCCGTGTCTGGTAGCAGTGGATCACCAATACCTCCGGATGAAAATTGTAACACTTGTCACAGAAACGTGCCCTGATCTTTTGAGACCTGATATTTTTGAAGTCGTAAGGTTTTGAAAAAAGGTTGAAGTAGTTCATTGACTTTGTCAGCTTGGATTAACTTACGTATTTCAGTGGATTGCATAGATGAACTTTTCAAGCTATGTGACCATTGAGTCTTTTTAACCCACATAATAACCGTTGTTTTCATGGGAAGTTTGGACCTTTGGCACACATACACATCTTAATTTTACGTCCTCGTATTTATACGTTTATGCACCTTGTATATCCTTGCGTGTGTCTATCGCTCATCATTTTATATAATCCTTGTCTCTTTGTTACTTTATCCACTATCTGTTTTGAGCTATGTAAACGCTCATGATAATTAACATAAAGAGTTAGTATGTTTACCTTATCCGGTCTTCTGCTCCTACCTGCCTCTCTTATTGTCTGTCCGAGGCAGTGAGTGTATGAAATATACGTGTCACAAATTAATTTACTTTAAAGATGCAACAGGTGTCTGGAGTTTGACAACACTTTAACCAGTATCACCTTCTATAATCGAAACGCTCCAACCCAGTCTAATCAGAAGTCAGAAACAAAAATGTTCGAAGATGTATTTGATAAGCTTTCGATTTATCGAGAAATGACTGATCTAATATGGCCAGTGGTTGTAGGAGAAGTTGAACACACTTTACCTACTCGTGATCTGGTGAGGATGCGTGACCGAGCTCCTTTAGCTATGTAAGTCCAGTAAAACTGATGTGGTCAGCATCAAATGTCGAAGACTTACAGAGCTATTGATTTTGGGGATTTATTTACCGCTACAACTCATTTGACTTATTTAATTTCATTATTCACTAACACAAATGAGGTTGATATCTGTATGTGAGGGTAGCCGGTATGCGTACTTCTTTAACATCATCATACGATGGAATCGGAGTCAGATCAACGGGCCGCTAAACTGGGTAGTCCGACATATAATCGAAGGCACGAAAGTTGACTTCGGTAGGCACCCATTTCGCAGAAATATTTGCGACCCCTTTACGATATCTAATACTATTTTGATGAACTAACACAAGATGAGCGAAGATTACCAAAGAGATAAGATCAGGATTAAGAACTATAAATTTCGAAGACGACAAACACGGGTTAAACTGAGACATCTAAAATAATTTATAGAGTTGAGATCATGAGTCAATTGAAGCTAGACCACCATCGAAAACCTGGAAGCACTGGACGGCCGTTTCGTCCTATTATGGGACTCCTCAGCAGTGCGCATCCACGAACCCGCTCTCGCGAGATTCGAACCCAGGACCTACCAGTTTCGAGCCGAAGCCCTTAACCGATAGACCACTGAGCTGGCATCCAACAGTGTTAATGTCTAACTTCAAACGATTCACGAAATTGAGCAACCATTCACCAATGTCATCAGTGAGTTCCTATCGGTTAAGGGCTTCGGCTCGAAACGGGTAGGTCCTGGGTTCGAATCCCGCGAGAGTGGGTTCGTGGATGCGCACTGCTGAGGAGTCCCATAATAGGACGAAACGGCCGTCCAGTGCTTCCAGGTTTTCGATGGTGGTCTAGCTTCAATTGACTCATGATCTCAACTCTATAAATTACTAAAGTCTCCACAAAATCCCCTCTGATTTAAAATAATTGCCTGGATGAGGTAAAGTTTTCAGAGGTGTGTAAATTTCGGAAGTAAACAATTTTATAAGTATTCGATATTGGCACCGACCTCACTAGTCTTCCTGGAAATGCATTTGGCTGAAAGCATCTGGTTAAGTATTTGCACTAGATCACTTTTCGCACGTGTTGAGCATCTCTTACAACAACCAGTCAGCTCAAAATGTATATTTCTCGGTGCTTTGACTGTCTTTCAAAAATGTCTATGAACCAGTGCAGCTCTGAGTTTTAATTTAAAAAGGCGTCTTGGACAACAACTTTATCAAGCACTGTATATTTGTGATACAATCAAGATAATCCGTTTTGTATCACTTTAAATGCCGTTACTCAAGATAAGATCACTTCTGTTTTTCCGATGGACTGCACGGATGACATCAACTCTCAGAGAGGATTCTTGTGTGTTTTATTCATCTCTTAATGTCATGCTGCTATGTTTCTCTGAACTTCCCTCAAGAGATTTGTATTCTTCCAAAGATAGGGTGTAGCAGAACCATAGTTTTTAGTATGAGTCATTACGTGCGTTTAGAAGAGAGTTAAGAACACTTCAAGAGTGACTGTGCCAAGGTTTCTACGACAGAGGTAAAATGTAGTATATGATTGTGCCAACTCTTGGGGGTAACGTATGCATGCGTCTAGTTTTCTGTCGGTAGAAGTACTAGGTCTGTTAACATATGGTAACCTTGACACAAAACTTTCGATATTCTTGATTTTTCATGGACAGGGACAGAGGTGAACCAATGAAACTTATCTATGGTACGTTTGTAACAATCTAGGTCGATTAGTTCAGAGTTGGCCTCAAGTAACAAAGTATGTGTCCAAACAATAGATCCCAAAATATTTATTCGTTTCCTTATTTTGCATAGGTATTATGTTCCCTATTATTTTACATCGAATATTGAAAAGCCTTTGTGTTTGAATAGGTAGACGCCCGTCCCACTGTGAACTTGTTCCACGAGCTAAATAAAGACCTGTTCACTACTAGTTTGTTTTCTTCTATCAATAGAACGAGGGTTACCTACTGGCACGAAACGTTCACCATAGGTACTTCGTGCAAATCAGTATTGAACACCTTAGCGCAGACAAGAAATGGGGCATTTGATATCGCTTTCCATCCACGGTGATCACCTCAACTGTCCGTAGTAACGCAAAGTTGTAACAGCATGGTGGCTTAATAAGTAATAAAGATCTAAATTTTGCAGCCCCGCCATATGTTTCCCATGGATCACACTTATAATCAAGGTTAATATTAGGTTGACAGCCTGTTCTTACATGCGTTAAACTTTTCAGTTAAATGAAGTGAGATCAGCTCATGTATCGATCAGCGGTTAGTTTATAATTGCCAATGTCCTGTTGTCACTTTGTTTGCAGTGTGCATCAACAGTATCTGTACTTGTGTTAACTTAATGAAACGTTCCTAAACACAAAATGAATTTGAGCTTGTTTCCACTATTCGTTAAGAAGCGTGATCAAACGAGATCACAGAATGGTGAGTAAATTAAGAAACTCAGTTCGATGCTTAAGATTAGTTTGGCAAGCAGCACTACGTACCTTACATTTGAAGTGGGTGAGAAATAGGCATGTTCATGAGCAAATATCGTAGAAATCAGTCTAAAAACACCTGGACTTATGGATTTTACGATTCTTAACTTCTATGCATATTAGTCTGTAGCAGCCAGAGTTAAATAATTAAGAGTCACCGATAACTTTCTAGTGTAATTAAAAACATAAAAAATAAAATAGTTATCTACTTTTTTACATTACATTTTGATAGGTCTTGTAGGTTGAACGCTTTATTCAGATCCTAAGCTATTCGGATAACCCCAGGGCTAGCACTACTCAGCAACTTGAAGACCAAAGAGAAGACACGAGTATCAGAGAAACGCTTTACTGCAAGGTTCATCTTTGTACAGAAAATCTTAGGTATTTATAGATGTTTGCTTAAGTTAAATCAACATCCTAATTCAGCCAATCCAATTAACGACATAAATCACTACTGACCAATGGTAGAATGCCACGTTGGAACCCCAGAATGTTCTGTCGTGCTCTGATTGGCTGAGACTCTTTTTGAGCCTCTGGAGGCTCTGTTGGAGTTCGCTGGAAGCCGACCTAACACATTTACAATACATTTTTAACATTTACGGAAATAAACGATGAAATGTTTCTTTTTCTCAGGTAGTGGCATCCACTTGTTACCTGTTTTGCGTAATAAGTCATTCAACAAACATCCCAAAGTCTTCGGATTCATTGTATAACGATGAGTATATAAAGGTCCCACAGGTCTGATTTGATAATTTTTGAAACTTATGTTTGCCCACTACTATCAATTTGCTTGTTGATACGGAAGGCCAATCAGAAGTAGCCTAACGACAAAGTCAATCGATGTCACTCGGAAGTGACGTAAAGGCCAAGTGCATTTCATTGACTAAGAAATGGGTAAACCTCTCAAGGATTAGAGTGACATATATATATATGAATGGATTTTTTGCATTTTATTCAGTAACTCAATAAACTTTCTCGCTCGTTCTGGTGTTATCGCTCAGAGTGGTCATTTGGAGAGATAGCGTGCAGCACACTGTGTATCAGTATCAGATTTTGAACACCGCTCACTTCTTCACACTCTACAGTAACAGTTTTGACACGGAACAATGTTTTATTTTATCTTTGTTACTCGTTTTGCCATACATACATAGTTGTTTATTCTTGCTCTGCGTTGGGATATTTACGTATTCCGCTTCTCCTTTATTTCTATTTCCTTAGTTCCTTCCTTTCCTCCGAAATGGTTTCTTCACAACACTTATGTACCCATAAGATGTTTGTGAATAATAATAATAATAACATTAATGATATGAAAACCAGGTACTGGGTACACAAATAACTGGCTCTGGTTTGTGAGTAAAAGATGCTATAGCACCAAATTACGGTTCAAATGAAAGTTTAAAACTACGGTAGTCTAAAAATAGTGAAACCGAAACTTTTAGTAAAAATGAAATCAATATACATAAAAAATATATATTAAAAATAGTTCTGTTAGTTCAAACTTCACGGTCAAATCGTCTATAACAACAACAATGTTCTTCGTGATGGTCGTGCTGGTTTTGTTGGGGTTGTGTATTGTGACATTAATCATCGGTATACAGCC